ATCGTTGTTTGGCGGGTCCGGGCTGGGGATTCGAACCCGCCACCTTAGGTGTACGTGGCTGGCGCCTTAGCCGGTTGAGCTATAGGCGCCGAGCCGCTCAGCTAGTTTTTTAGAGACTAGGTCTCCCTCTTGCTCGGGCTGGTCTCAAACTCCTGAGCTCAAGCAATCCAGTGGCATTGGCCTCCCAGAGTATAAGGATTACAGGTTCCTAAGGACTTTCCTCCCACTGAGTTCTACAGGGAAGTCCTGTTGTCCCGGCAGAGGGAGTGACTGGCATGTTCGTGGCCCCTGACACAAGTCTGGGTTGTTTCCTATGGCCAGGGCTGTTTTCTTTATTATACCTATCTTCTCTATGTTTTTTAGGGGGGAGGGAGGGGCGGAAATTTTGTTTTGTTTTTGAGACAGAGTCTCATTCTGCTGCCCAGACTAGAGTGCCGTGGCATCAGCTTAGCTCACAGCAACCTCAAACTCCTGGGCACGAGTGATCGATCCTGTTGCCTCAGCCTCCCAGGTAGTACCTGCCATTTCACTGGGCTAATTTTTCTATTTTTAGTACAGACAGGGTCTCACTTTTGCTCAAGCTGGTCTTAAACTCCTGAGCTCAAGCAATCCTCCTACCTTAGCCTCCCAGAGTAATGGGCATGAACCACTGCGCTCAGCTCCACGCCCGTTGTTTTTGAATGCCAAACAACGGATCCACTATTATGGAGGACTAAGTATGCACCATGATTAGGGCTCGGTATTTTATCTGAGAATAGAGATCATCTCAGATAAAATCTCATTTGTTACAGAAAGACAGATTCAGAGAGAGGCAGTAACTTCTTCCAGGCCACACAGCCTGTAGGTGGTGGGACAGGAAGTACAGAATGTTTGTCCAGTGCTCTCAGCAGGGACATCGCCTATCTTACTGCTTTGTCATAGCATCTAGAGTCACGGACTCACACTAGGGCTGAAGGAAGCCCTCTAGAGCAACAGGCCTAATGTTTACTATCTTTGTTTTCACTATAGAATCTGTTATTCCAGCTCAGCGCCTGTGGCTCAAGTGGCTAAGGTGCCAGCCACATACACCTGAGCTGGCGGGTTCAAATCCAGCCCGGACCTGCCAAACAACAATGACGGCTGCAACCAAAAAATAGCCAGGCGTTGTTGCGGGCACCTGTAGTCCCCACTACTTGGGAGGCAAAGGCAGGAGACTAGCTTGAGCCCATGAATTGGAGGTTGCTGTGAGCTGTGATGCCATGGTACTCTACCCAGGGCGACAGCTTGAGGCTCTGTCTCTAAAAAAAAAAAAAAAAGAATCTGTTATTCCAGGCTCAGGAGCCTCAATAGTTAGGGTGCTGGCCACATGCACCAGGGCTGGTGAGTTCGAACTTGGCCTGGGCCTGCTAAACAATGACAACAATAACAAAAAAATAGCCAGGCGTTGTGGCAGGTGCCTGTAGTCCCAGCTACTT